AGTCTCCATGAGCTTTACAGCTTTTTATACAGTATATTATATATTGGAGTAACACACTTAAAATAATCTAAAAATGCAGATGGAACTGTGGCACATAGGGTATGTGCCACAGTGTCATCTGCATTTTTAAATTATTTTTAAAATTACCATTAGCATCTTGGAAATAGAGCTTACTTGTGTGTTTGCTCTGAGAGCCATTTTATTAGTCTCTTTGAGGTCTTGTTCAGTGGTGACGTGCTGCTCCACCTGGCTCCATAATAGGGGAATCCCTGTTCCCCAGGGTGACACTAACGTATAGTATGTGAGAGGCACACAACCACACAGTGATATTCCTTGCTCACACATGAGCTGCAGATTTGCTGTTATAACATGTCCTTCAATAACAGCCTCTTTGCAAAACTTGTATTACTCTGCTTGTATTATAAAATATTCATAATGCATTCTGAAATGTACTTCTCAAACTGTTAAGATCAGACTTATATCAGTGCTAAAAACTGACAGCTTTTGGGGGAAGCTAGCTATTTTTAATCTAAAATATGAGGGCTTTCTGGAAAGTATCCAGCCATGTAATATAAAAATAGAGACATTTATCCAAGAAGATCACCTTTGAAAATCACCTTTGTAGGAAACGTTTTCCTCGTCGAAGCAGAGATCAGGAGACGTTGGGATATCTTTCATACAGAAGTCACTCTTTATTGAGGACTCGCTAACAAAGGAGTCGCGAGACCACCTTTCTCAGTTGCGGGGATCAGTCTAGCATTCTTTCTAAACATTTTGTGAGTTTCTTTGTCTTAGTCAAAGAGGATACTCTAACACGGAGCTCTTTGTTCTGTTCCTCTGGCTCTGAGTTACGCTGAGTCTGTTGTGTAGCTAGCGCTAAACCAAATTCTCTGTGGCAGCAGATAATGCCTTTCACATTGACAACAAAGGAGTCGCGAGACCACCTTTCTCAGTTGCGGGGATCAGTCTAGCATTCTTTCTAAACATTTTGTGAGTTTCTTTGTTACCACACAATCAAAACACTAAAACTTCTCTCATCAACAGAGGGTACACTTGTTAACACAGATCAACTATTGTTAACAATACTTGGCAAAGCAGAGGATAACACAAATTACTAGCACTTTACGCTAACCACACCTTTAAAAGTGAAGAGATTTCAGACCGTCAGTGAGATTCGGGAAAATATGACGAGGCAGCTAATGACGATTCCAACAAAGGATTTTGCAGAGTGTTTTGAACAGTGGAAGAGATGCTGGGAGAACTGTGTGAGGTCTCAAGGTGCCTACATTGAAGAGGACTGAGGCGTCATTGTCTTGTGTACAATGTTTCTTGTATTTTATATCTTTTTTGACAAAAGTCTCTATTTCTGTCATGACAACTCTCGGAGGGATTGGCATGGTAATGTACATGATATGTTAATGTATTTGGTCTTGGCGGAATAGATCTGCTACGCTGCTGCTGCTGCGGCAGAGCAAGTACCGAGACTTGCTACTGCCAATATATCCACAACATGCTGCTGTAAGCATGTAAGAAATACACCAGGTCAGATTGAGCTAGACCTATCGGACTGCGCTATCTAGAGTTTCATGCCAGAACTCTGTATGTATCATATTAAATGGCTGGATACTTTTCTGACAGCCCTTGTATGTCATACATGATTTTCAGTTATAGTTGTAGTAGTAGCATTTTTATAGTGCATTGAACACGTTTTTCTTTAAAGATTAAGGAAAAATTGATTCCTCATGATGACATTTTTTATTTTATTTTATTTTTTGTCAGTTTCCAGGTAACTGGCCTCATCTCTGTCTGTTTCTGTCTCAGGTATCAGAAGGAGTACTGTGAGTTTAAGAGACAGCAGCTGGAGTTGGATGATGATCTTAAGAGTGTGGACAATCAAATGCGTTACTGTCAGATTCAGCTGGACAGACTCAAGAAGACCAACGTTTTCAATGCCACCTTTCATATCTGGTATCATATCTCTTTATAAAAACTTGTTTTATTTGGTGTTTTAGGACCACCATTAAAAAAGAAATATGTGCATATTGAATAAGCTGATTAGAATTGTGTAATCTCTAAAATCAGATTTTGCTTATGATGTAGAATTGTGTATATATATACATTTTTTTAATTTTCTTTTTTTTTCTACCTTTTTCTCAGGCACAGTGGGCAGTTCGGAACAATAAATAACTTCCGCCTAGGCAGATTACCCAGTGTACCAGTGGAATGGAATGAGATCAATGCAGCCTGGGGTCAAACTGTACTTCTGCTGCATGCACTTGCAAACAAGATGGGACTATGCTTTCAGAGGTGGCTGGATAAGGAAAATATATTTACAACTAGATAGATAGAGCTTGTAGACAAACTTTGATGCCTTGTCTGAAAGTACAAGATTAAGCGATGAAACTGCATTAGACCTCAGCAGACCTTTAAGAAACCTCTTCAGACACAATTAGACCTGATCAGACCCCAATAAACCTCATTAGACCAAGTCAGGCTACTTCAGACCTCATCAGAACCCTAATGAACCACAACTTACTTCCTTATACAATTTATCAATTTTAAATTTGACCAAGTTGCATCTGTAATGTATCTTAATCCACCTCCTGAAGTGATCTGAGTGATCTGATTATTCTCAAATGCGTTTCAGAGGGCATTGTAGGCGACTATCTTGAAAACCAATAATTTCGCTACCGAGAGGCTGAGTAGAAGAAAACGAACTTGTCAGACACGCTTGCTGATAATGATCATACAGTAGATCCAAAGACTGCATTCTGTAGATTTATTTCCATGAGAAACAAACAAGGTTGTGCATCCAATACATTCCAAAATTATTTTACTGGCATACAAAATGGTGTCCAAATGTCATGATAAACGACATTAAACAGCATTAGAAGCCTTTTAGCGGTCAGCAAAAATAAGACTTCCCCCGTCACCCCCTCTCACCATACCCCAAACACACAGGTGAACAGATGGTATATTCTTACTACTTCCGCCACCACCAGGTGCCGCAATTAATGCAAAAAATGTGCTCAAAATAATAGAACTACACCTGGTTCTTACATTCCGGCCCCTAATTATTACAGTTAATAATTACATATACATTACACATGCAGGGGAATACAATTTTTTTTTTTTTTACAGTCCATCATAAAAAAGATGATTCAATCTTCTGTTTTCTCTTTAAAGAAAAAAGTCAAAAAATTGTTCAGTCGATTCAGTCAAAAGTCATATTATCCAAGTACCGCAATCAGGATTCAGCTGACTCCTGTAGAAGGCAGATCTTGGTTACAGGCCTGCATATACGGTTGGTTTAGGTCTTGATCCAGACTTGTCTCACGAGTCCTCTTCTGTCTGGAACCACTTCGGTTATCTTTCCATTGATCCAGGAGTTGCGGGGCGCAGAATCATCCACTACCAGTATGATGTCTCCAGGAATTCCGCTTGATCTTTGTCCATTTCTGTCGTTCCTGCAATTGTGATAAGTACTCCTTAGTCCACCTTTTCCAAAATAGGTCAGCCATGCATTGGACTTGCTTCCATCTTCGCCGTGCATACATGTCCTCTTTCTGAAACAGCCCAGGAGGTAAACATGATTTAGTTTTAAGAAGTAGAAGGTGATTTTGTGTTAATGCTTCCAAGTCGTTTGGATCTGTGGATTCCTTGGTGATGGGTCTACTGTCGAGAATTGATTCCACTTCACAGAGCACTGTGTAGAGTGCTTCCTCGTCCAGACTTTGTGTCCTCAAAGTAGAGTTAAGGACCTTTCTGACAGAACGAATCAACCTTCCCCATGCTCCTCCATCTGTTGTTGACCTGCAGCTCCATGTAGCTGCCGACACACCACACATCTAGCCAAGTTCTTCCTCTCGATGAATATGTTGTAGGATGAGGTCAGCAATATGAAGGTCTTTAGGTAATATGGCAGGATGTTTTAACTTTTCAGGCATGGCAGCCTTACTTAGCCGTCCTCCAACTCTTAACACACCATCTTCCAGTATTGGATTGAGCTTATATATGTGGCTGTTTCTTTTCACACCTTCTCCCTTTTGGTGGCAGGAGAACTCTTCTGAGAACCTTCTTCTCTGACAGAACATGATTACTTCAATTTCAGCTTCTCTGATCTCTCCCAATGAGAGATAACCACCACAGAGCTTGTTCTTAAAATCACGCATGTCCTTGGTGAGAACGTCTTCCTGTTGAGTTACATGAAACACAGACTCATCAAGATGTGCAGTGAACTCCTTAATTTTTCTAAGATTCAAAAACAAAGCCTTGAATCTTAGGATCCAGCCCATCACTCTTATTAGACGTGTCCAGGATGAGGTGCGGTTGATCAGACAAGTCACGGCATCATTTTCATCCCTTATTGCAGAAACTCCAATTGCAGCTGATACCTTGACCTCGGGGTCGCCAGATTGAAGTTGTTGCAATGCATCTGGGTTAACAGGCCAGTCTTCTTCTGATTGCAAGAGAAATGAGGGACCGGATATCCAAATTTTGTTATTTAGGAATGACTCTGCCTTCACACCTCTGGAGGCAAGGTCTGCAGGATTGTATGCAGTGTTCACAAATCTCCATTGAGATGCGTCAGAAACCTTGAGAATCTCTGAGACCCTATTTGCCACAAAGATTTGAAATCTTGAAGTCTCATTCTTAATGTATTTTAATACCGAGGTACTGTCTGTCCAGAAAACAGAGTCTTGAAGCTGTAGTCTTAACTCCTTTCTCCACAGTTTGTCCATACAAGCTGCTACAACAGCAGCTGTTAACTCCATATGTGGAATAATAACAGGCATTAAAGATGCCACCCTAGATTTTCCCATTAAAAAGGCGCTGTGCATCTGAGAGTGTTCATTGCGCAGCATCAGATAGGTAACAGTACCATATCCTTCCTCACTTACATCTGCAAAATGATGCAACTGAGCAGTGGTTGCTTCTCCAGAGTTTATAGGTTTTAAACATTGTCTGATGCTGAAACCTTCCAACTGATGTAGCTCCTTCATCCAATCTATCCACTCCTGAGCAACCGATGCTGGTATGACATCATCCCATCCTAGCTGATTCCGTCACAGATCCTGAAGAATCCATTTAGCTGTAAAAACCACAGGAGCTAGAATCCCCAGAGGGTCATAGAAAGAACTGACAGCTGAAAGGATCCCTCTGGGGGTCAATGATCTCTCCTGAATGGCTATGCTGAAATTAAAGTTGTCAGACTGGACACAACGCACTCCCAGTGCTCTTTCAACAGGTAACGAGTCATGGTTCAGATCCAGGTCTTTAACTTCCTTTGCTCTCTCCACCTCAGGTATTGAAGCCAACACACTGCGGCTGTTCCTTATCCATTTTGTTAGATGAAAGCCGTCCTTGGCACATATGGTTTTAAGGTATTTATAGAGGGATATAGCTTCCTGATCTGAGGCTACAGAAGCAAGGCAGTCATCCACATTGAAAAACTGCACATAATGATCTCAAACACTTGCTGGCTGAATAAGTCTTTGTTGTCTTCTGCGCACCTTCGTAGAGCAAAATTAGCGCAACTTGGAGAAGACGTTGCCCCAAACAAATGGACAATCATCCTGTACTCCTCCATACACTGAGTGAAGTCTCCACTGGGCCACCAAACAAATCTCAATAGATCCACATCCTCCTCTGGAACTTGAACTTGATGAAACATCGCCTCAATGTCAGACATCAGAACAACAGGCTCTTTCCTGAACCTGGTCAGGACTCCAGTCAATGTACTAGTCAGATCAGGACCACTCAGGAGTTGTGCATTGAGTGATGCACCTTGAAATGATGCTGCACAATCAAAGACAACTTCCCTTTCTTCGGATGATATACCCCGTGGTGTGGGATATACCAAACCTTTCCTGTCACTGCGTGCCAGATCTGTGGTTGGCACTCTCTCTGCATAGCCACTGGATATAAGGTGTAGGAAACTTTTTCCTCGTCGAAGCAGAGACCAAGAGACGTTGGGATATCTTTCATACAGAAGTCACTCTTTATTGAGGACTCGCTGTGCGTCGCTGAAATCATCCAAGTCTAACTAAGGCAGTGATACATTGTAGCTTATATACATTTAAGGGGGAGGGATACATTCAGTAGAGGTGGAGACAATCTAACCCATAGCATGCAAATGAAGTACAGGAATCAGCCCGACACCGGCATTTTCCCAGCCTTGATCTCATCAGCATAACAGTGTCATTCAAATGCATAGGTGCTAATCCAATCAGTCTGACAGTATCGCCATACTTTCGCATTATCACAGAGACAAAGGTACAGCTGTGCTTTGAGCTTAAAAAGCCAAATGGTCAGGAAGAGCATAAAGACAAAAGGTCATTATCTCAGACACCTGGGCTTCCTGATTTGATCTCCTTAGAAATGTCATCCTTTTTTACCTCAAAATGTAAAACACAATGTACATAACTTTTTCAGTTTATATACTATTACATTGGAACCTAGATTTAACATTTTATAAATTTGTAATCCCACAAAGGTTATTCATGAAAGCAGTGTAATCCTTATGAAATAATGCATTTCTAACAAACCTTCTCTTCAGGTTAAGGGTGCGTTGTTCTGCAATGTTACGGTTGTTAGGCATACTTATCTTTCTGTTCTTCAAAGATAAAACAATAATGTAATGGCCATCAACTAATTTCACAGTATTGTTAACCATTTCTAAGAACCTGCATTCCTCCCTTGAAAGTCCTGGCTGTTCCTCCTGACTGCACTCTGGAAAGTCTGTCTTGAACTGTTGTTTCCAGAGTTCATCAAGTGTTACAGAAGAAATTCTGTTGATGGTAACTGCAGACTGATACACGTCAGGTCCATCACAACATCCTCCACCAAGAGGTCCATTTACCATCCAACCAAGCATTGTCTTGATGGCATACGGCCCTTTATCCACACTCCTAATGACTTCAAGTGGTTGCAAAGCTCTGGGCACGTTCATGCCTATCAGAAGCTCCACATCTGCATCTATCGCAGGCAAGTACACATGTTTCAAATGAGGCCATTTATGCAGATCTTCCTGTCGTGTGAGGTTACTCCTATTCACAGGCATCCTACGTTGTGTGAAGATATCGGTCATTTCACAGTACCAGCCACTGTTCAGTCCAGCCACTTCCAAGTCCGACACAATACAACTGTCCACAATTCTCTCTTGGCCCATGGTGTGCAAAATAATCTTTGTTTTTCTCCCAGAGAGATTCAGTCTATCCATCAAACCCATTGTGCAGAAGGATGCTGAACTTCCCTGGTCAAAAAAGCATAGGTCTCCACTATTCTTTGACCTCTCTTTGATTTTACCTTTACTGGTACGATGGCGAGCTTAAAGTCTTGTTCACCGGCCCCAGTAAGACCACTGGTTTGAACTGTAACTAAAGAACTGCTCACTGCATTCTCTGAGTTGCTCTTACTTTTCTCTACATCTGCTCCCTTATCCTTGTGGTGGATGTGAAGCATACTAGTGTGCCTTAAACCACAAGTTTTGCAAGAGAGACGTTTTCTACACTCCTTACTGATGTGACCAGTACACAGACAGCCAAAACAAACGCCTTTTGTTTTGGCAAAAGTCTTTTTTAGAAAATCACTCTTCTCACGTTGAGCTCTCTTCTCCAACAGAGTACAAAACTCCAGCATGTGTCCACCTTTGCAGTACAGGCAAGTCTTTTCAGGTAAATTTCCATCTTTAACCTTGTGTTCCGTCAGTGTCTTTTCAGCAGTGGCAAAGCTACTTCCTTTAGCCCTTGAGCGAGGTGATTTTGCCCTGTTGCCTTCTTTAATTGCCACCGACGTTGGTGCATCCTGTAGGTTTCCAAACACAGGATCTGTCATGATTTTCACTTGGCGCTCCATAAAAGTCACAATATCAACAAACATAGCTCTCCGGTGATGCCTTTCCTGGATGTCACATGACACTGTTCGCCACTTGTCTCTCAGTTTGTAGGGTAATCTTTTAATCACAGCAATCATTTTGACAGGTGTATTCAATTCACACAGACTATGAACCTCATCCATGGCATTGCAACATCCACGCAAGAACAGACTGTATGCATGTTAAGTCTTTCCATCTTCTGACTTAATTGTTGGCCATGAAGAGACCTTATTCAAATAGGCAGATGCAATCATATGTTTGTTTCCAAAATGTTCATGCAGTAAAGTCTTTGCCTTTGCATATCCTGAGCCATCAGTCACATGTTGACAGCTCCTGACAAGTTGTTGTGGTTGCCCCCCGGTGTACTGTTCCAAAAAATGCAGGCTATCTTCAGCATTATCAGTCTTTCCCTCAATTACCTGTTCAAAGGACCGCAGGAAAGCATGGTACTGTAGAGGGTCGCCATCAAATATTTGGATATCTCTCTTAGGCAGTGATGCAAGACATTGCTGATGCACCAGCATTAATGTTATCTCATTCTGTTTTTCCATTATAGACAACATGGGGTTCTGGTCACTGTTAATGTTCGTGGAAAAGAGTGTATGGACATCTCTACGATGAGACACTGAAGGCGCAGTAGTATTTGGAACTGTGCTCTGTCTCATGATCTCCGAGGGCATCTGCTGGAGATGAATGTCATCGTCTGCCTTTTTCTGTTTTGGCCTTCCAAAGTGTAAATCAACATTTCCAGTTGCTGGTTTTCCCTTTTCATCCTTTCCAAGGTTTTGTGGAACAAAAGTCTCTGCATCAAGGTTAAGAGCTTCAACTGTTTTTCCTTTTTTCTTAAAATATGACTCCATGCCATCAGATCGATAAGAAGCAGCACTCTGCGCACCAGATCCAGAGGTCTTTAAAACATTTACTTTTGCCATTGATGCGGCTATATTGGCCTTAAGCTGAAGTTGTTCTTTTTGTTGTCTTAATTTCTCTTCCTGCGCCTCAAGGGAATGTTTTTCCTTTAGCAAACTTTGACGGGCAAGCAGAGCAGCTATTTCAGCCTCTGCTTTAAGACGTGCATATGAAGTAGTGGAAATGTTTGATTTTGAACCTTGTTTTCTACTGCTTAGGTTTGATATACTGTCACATGGCAATATGTCATCCTGAACATCATGTTGAGAAGATGGTTGCCGTTGTACCCTTTTTACATCCTCATGAATCCCACTTTCTTCCCTTGACAAAACATCCTGGTGACACTCAACGTCATGAGTTAGCTGTGAACGAGGCCTGTTGACTTCTGAAATCCACACTTTGGTATCATTAATAAATCCTTGATTGTATTCGGTGACATTTGCCAACCATGCATTTTGTCTTTCTTGTTCATCAGATGGAATTAAAGGCATCAGAGATTTGTGCAATGCAGTGGCATTTTCAGACAATTGCAGCAGAACACCAAACTGTGCTTTAACTTGTGAAACATTTTGATCATCCCTCATGAGCTCTTTGAGAGACAATATCTGGCTCTTTAATTTGTTTACTTCCTCTTTACGCTGTTTCTGAATTGACTCAATCTTGCTCGCCAAAGCCTTTGCAGTCAGAGTGATTTTTCTTTTCTCTATTTTAGGTGAAGTTGAGCCAGCCCTTGATCCACTCATTTTGTGCATACAGACAGATGCAAATAACCAGCGCAGTATGAATCCAACGTAAAACCAACAACATCAATAGCCAGAGCATTCACATGTAGGCACGATATAATAACCAACGCGCTGAATCCAACCACACACACCAATCGTCCACTCCAAACACAGCGAACACAAACCCGATCAGAGGCAATCAACTCTCACTATAAACAACAGCATCACCAAACTTCAAAAAGTAGCAGTAACCCCTACAAACTGCGTTCAGACAAATCATAACACAGTACAAAACACAGGTTACATACCACTGTTTGTGTGCGATGCTATCGTGCTGCTGCCGCTCTCCAGATAATCAAGCCGGGACTGCATGTGTAGTCTCAATGGCCGATGATCCCTTTTGTCGTGGACATAGAGTAGATTTTGCTGACAAATGTAGGCGACTATCTTGAAAACCATCAATTTCGCCGCCGAGAGGCTGAGTAGAGGAAAACGAACTTGTCAGACGCGCTTGCTGATAATGATCATTGATCCAAAGACTGCATTCAGTAGATTTATTTGCATGAGAAACAAACAAGGTTGTGCATCCAATACATTCCATAATTGTTTCACTGGCATATAAAATGGTGTCCAAAGGTCATGATAAACAGCATTAAACAGCATTAGAAGCCTTTTAGTGGTCAGCGAAAATAAGACAAAAACAAAAAACATTCCAAACACAGCCACAGCACAGTTTTGCATCTCTGAGCAACATGACGGTGTTTCATTCCTGAATGAATCAACCGTTTAAATGATTTGGTTCAATCGCAGTGACTCACTTATTAACAGTGACTTGCTGCCTCCTACTGGCGGTTTTAATTTCACATTTAAAGTATCTTTTCATTTTTTAAATAATTTCAAATTTCAGTATTCAACATTTCATGTTTAAAATATCAAAACATAATTTATGCATTTGTAACTGCAGGTTAAAGCATCCCATGTCCCTCTGAGCTGCATTAAATAGTGTGACATCTAAATGCCACTTCAGATGCAGCTTCTTTCCTCTGCATTGCAAAGATTAATTTCGTTGATATTTATACCATTTGTTTGGTACACACTCAGCAAAATATAATCTAATTATCTTTATCGATAAAATCCCAGAAAATATTGAGATATAATTTTTTGTCAATATCGCACACCCCTAGTACTGACACAAAATGATTTGCAACGGTCGCTTTGTCACGTCCAGTGTAGACAGCCTCAAACTGTTAGTTTATTTCCGGTTTGGTTTATTTTTTTTGGGCTAGTAAAAGTTATGAATGGCCGGTAACTTAAAAATTGAGTAGCCAAATTGGCTGGTGAGTGAAAAAGTTAATTTCAATCCCTGTATATGTATAAGTTCAACTTAAACAGTATTTGTCTTGGTGTGCTTGTTATGCAAGGAATATTTCATGACATGTCACCACCTGGATAAAAACATGATAAAAATGTTATGCATGCTAGATTAACTTTAGAAGACAAATCTGTCACTGAGGTGTGCAAGTCATGACAGATATTTTTGTTCACAACACTACAGATAAGAAAGCTTCAGATTATTCTTACAATTAAATATGAAACATGTAATCTTAAAACTACCAGCTGACTGGTGAGTATTTTATTTACTCACCAAAGTCATTTTACCTTCTTTTTCAACTTGTTTCTTTAGCCTTAAAAATTGAAGCTTAAACTTTAATGAGCATGTCGAAAAATACAGATTATATAATGACCATAAAAAGAAAAGAAGCACTGTTAGTTTATTTCCGGTTTGGTTTATTTTTTTTGGGCTAGTAAAAGTTATGAATGGCCGGTAACTTAAAAATTGAGTAGCCAAATTGGCTGGTAAGTGGAAAAAGTTAATTTCAATCCCCGATCACCAGCACAACATAGTCATCCACCCACTCTAATAAGTTCAGTAGCCCCATCATACTCTGGTACAAGTGACTGTCCAGTCTTTAAAGCCCTGACTTCCAGTGGAAATTAGTCACCTTGAACCTATGCCAGAAGGAGCTTCTCTGCTTAAATGTAATAAGAGGCCTTGCCAGGGGAGTCAGCGGATGTGGCAGCCACCCCATGCAGGGACCTAACGGTGTCCTGGACCAGTTCTTGATATGTGTGAAATTGATTTGGGTCAAGGAGTGAACAACTAGGCACCGAAACAGATAAAATAATAAAAGCAGCCTTCTTTGATTCAATGAGGTTGCCTCTTCCTCAGTTTTGGGTATGGACAGCCACTTGTTGATTGGTTGAATCAGGAAGGCTGGTCCTGAGCTCCTCTGATAAGGGCCTGCCAACTTTTTTAGTGCAAGACTGTGTGATGTGGGCGGTTGATAGCTGAATCATACCTCCATTCATAAATATTTGTGAGGGTTTGTATCATCTGGGATTGGTGTGCTGTGAAGGCAGTTATCCACATAAAATGAATCTTCCACTATGTCATTTAAGTCAGCCATATCACTTCTGTGCTCTTGTACATGGTGTTGGAGGGTATAAACAATGCAACATGGGCCGCAAATAGTACTAAATAGAAGCATATGCCACTCTTATATGTCCAGTTGCATCTCCCTGTGCATTGTCTCTCCAAAGGAACCACAGCACTGGCTTGCATACCTGTTGGAACATACCTTTGACGTTTTTGCTAATGGCAATGATATGTTGACGGAACCTCAGGAGGACATCTCAGGATCATTCAGAGATTATCCCTGATGCTGAAAAGAACAGTTAAAGACAATTCTGCCTTTACCATTGTGTTGCACCATATGGTGTGGAATGAACCGAGACTTTGCTATTTTGCATTCCTCCTCTACAGTTATCAGCCAAATACCAGCTGACTCCAACTTCACAATTTCAGGGCAGTAAGCCTTCACTCTCTAAGGATCTTGTGCCAGTCTGCACTTGGTGCTTCGTAAACTGGGGAGCACAGCCTCTTTACCTGGCATAGCGTGGTACATGAACACCATCCACATTCACTCTGATGGTTGCATTTTGCAGCAGGGTGTAAGCGTTTTGATCCTGTTTAGACCTAGTGACCATCTTGTCATTGTACAGGAGAGTATCATCTTGCCAGAGCTTTTCCATATGCTGAAAGAGATCATGATTGGATCCATCGTTCCCAGGAGAGACCATCCAAGCTGTGTGCAGACAGCAGTGGGTCCCCCTATTTGGTCCTTTGCATATGGACTGAATTGTTGTTAGGATGTGAGGCATCAGGTCTGGCCCAATAAGGAGCAATGTCTTCACCCGGTCTGCAGGAAGCAAGCTGTGCTCTGCAAGATACAGACCTGTGTGATTGAATACGTTATGTATAGCAAACAACTTTTTGGGCTTAGAGACTGAGAAAGTGACACCTCAGAGAAAGTGATGACCCTTCAACTTTAGTGTGACATTGCTAAATTTTCTGCAAGGGAAGCAACTCAGGACTACTGGCAGGCTTACCATAAGAACAGCCCTGGAGATGTCATTGGAGTCATGAAGGACTCTGAGTTGTAAATCTTTGCATACCTTCTATGGATTCTTGAGGTTGCAGGTGCCTACTACATTGGCCAAGCCACATCTCCAGCAGCGCTTTACCTCTTTAATCCAGGTGACACTCTGGGTAGTGGTCAACTTCTTGAATTGAAGTAATACTTTTATAGAGATCAGCATTCCTGTAGTTTAAACAGTAGACCATGGTGCTAGCAACGCCAAGGTCATGAGTTTGATTCCCACGGAATGCATGAACCGATGACCTGGTGTGTTGTTTAAATGCAGTGTTACAGGTAACAGATGCAGGTAATCACAGATGCTCAGTTCTCTCTCATATAACACAAACATCCTGGATAACAGCCTAAGCAGTTGTTGCTAGTTCTAAAGTGTTACATCTGTTGAGGTTTCAAAGACAGATTCAAGTCCATGGTAGAAGAAAGAAGTTTCATACAGAAGAGAGTTTTTTTGGGACACTCTCTGGTTTTTCCTTAGTTATGTAAATATTTTTTTCATGAAACTTATGTATAAAATCAATATCACACTTCTGCTTGTGTGATAAAGCTCATATATGAATAAATATATCTGCAATAATCTTTAGCTGCTAATGTTCACAGGATTTAATTTATTGTTAAATAATTCTGTATATGGTAAATTATGGCATTTTCAATAAAAATTCATTGGTTTGTTAGAGTGAGTGATGAGAAGTGTCTGAAATTGTTCCAAGACGGCGAATGATAGGACTTATATAGGGTGTATTGGCTACTTTCTAGTATAGCAACTTAAAGTAGTCTACAAATCTATTTCAGTTTACATTTGTGATATGATTGTTGCAGCATTCTGTCAATGTAAGGGCCCATTCACAGCAAAAAATGATAACTATAATGTTAACTACATTAGCGTCCACACTCTTGTTAACCAACTCTGTTTATTCTGGTGCTCTATTTAAGCTGGTGCTACAGTTATGTTCTGTGAAGAATAGATATGTGGACTTCTCTTAGAGTTAGGAGTCTCTTAGTTATAACTTTATCGTTATCATTATAGTTATAATTTTAGTGTAAACATGTCTTATGTCTAAGGGAATTTTAGCTTGTTTTTAATTCTGTAAGGTCTGATCTAAGTCTGATAGATGTAGCTTGAAAGCTTTACACATTCCAGACCCAGATTTGCAGTGTAGTAAATCAGAAATAGAAAGGAACATCCATTTACTGTCGGCAACACAACACAACGCATCCAGTATAGACAGCATAATTTCCAAGCTATTGTCAAGCCAGCATGATTAACATTTATGTTTTTTATTTATGTTTAAATTAACATTTAACAGTTTATGTTCTCTTTGTAGATATCGACTTGTTCCTTATGGAAACCATTCCTATTTGGAATCTCTCACAGATAAGTCCAAGGTGGGTGCCACATATAAACTTTGATTAATATATGAAGGAGAAGGAAAAATAATTTTATAAGTGCACAAGGTGAGTTTTTGAACAATAGTGGTGATGGAATTTATACAGGTGCGACATTGTAAAAGTGCATGACTGGTTCTTGCTCTAGAGAGAGTCTCATTTACATCTTATTTAAAGGCAGGGCAGGTGATTTGGTTTAAAATAATTTTTGCTATGCTGGTTGAAAGTCTCTTCACATCCTGATAGCAATCACGAAGTTAAGTTTTCTAAATGTATTTAGATGTACTTATATTGTCTGTGGAAGGTGTAGGACCATAAAATATTCATCCAATCATATCCCTCAGTCTGAGGGCTATGATAGGCTGTCCTACTTGCCTGTCAATGTATGTATTTGCATACCTCTGTGCTCTCTGTTTGTGCAGCCATGATACATCATCAGCATGTTCCATTACGCTATTGCAGACCGAGTGAGAATGGAAGGCGTTATTATTGTAATATAATGTGCTTTGTACTGTAATGTTTTCTCACCAGTGAATGAGACACGAGGTAATCTGACAGTGTTACATTCAACCCTCCTCCATCGCTGTCTCGCATCAAGTCGAGGCGTGGCTCTTGCTAACCTTTCTGAAATCACCTACCCTACCGTTAAGTCTCATTTGCCCTTGTGATATCACAAATCCCACAAGCCATTTTTTGGAGCTTATACTTATTGGATGTTTTAATGGTATAATGACCTCTTATATGTCAAAAGATATAGAAAAATATTTATGTCATGATGTATCTGGCTGACTTTAAGACGTGTCTGACAGTGTTTACATTGATTTTGCATAATAA